TTGTTAGAATTACAGCCAATGCTTAAGCAATACAACATCGAGCTAGGAAAGTCATCGTATGGTTGTTCTGCTTAGGGAGTAGCTCTTACTAGTTTACAAAGCGTTGGGCAATCTATTTCTCTTTAACTAATTTTCAGAAGCTGCAATATAGAACTGCAGTGGTAGTGCAAGAATATGCCTATCTTCACCAAGGTCTGGGATTTATGTTGCAGAAATTAATCAAATTTACATCACTCCAAGTGTACCATGTCCAAATCACCTAGAGTCACTATTATGGACTTTTATATTTCTACCCAAGGAATGGCTGGGTTTCAAAGCTTGATCAACCAGAGTCTTTTACATTGAATTGCAATTAAACAAAGCAGAGTACCAGTTAAAGCCAAAGAACACAAGTACTCAGCACGTATATGTGTTGATACAGTACAGTATGTATGTGTGTATATATATATACGCATAAATATGTATATGTTACATTATAAGGAGAGGGCCATTCAGGACTTCTGAACTACAAGAATCCTTTTACCACATCCAAGTCTTGAAACTTCAGCCCATTAAATTTCACACCAAGACAATGAGAACTCCAATATTTTCCAGATTGAATTATTATTTCTATTTTAGCCAATTAACCAAGCAGGGCCAGCTGAAAGAACAGGAGCTTTAATTTTAATAACACCAGTCCTGCCACCTCAGGCAGATGGCACAAATTTCTATCACCAGATTATTTGCCCCTTCCCTGCCCTGCAGTTGTGTATCATGGGCATTTCTATGAGTTCTCAGACCATCACCAGAGTCGTACTATCTGATCTGTATCAACTTACTCAGTTGTCAGAGAAAATGCTGCAATTTATGAAATAATTTCAAACAGCCAGTACAGATCTGACAAGAACCCAGGTTTATACTTTGCAGTACTGGCTGGAGTCACACTGGTTTTAATCATGTAGTGGTTCTGTCTTTTCATCCCCAGCAAGCCCACTTCTACTCATAGCGGCTGCCATCATACATACAACCTCAGAGCTGGACCATTTGGGATACCATACTATTCACTGTAATCCTAAACCCCAGACCTTATAAAGGTCTGCTGTACAAATTTCACATACAGAGCTGAAAAATGTCTCATTTAAATCACTTTGAACAGGAGGTTTCATTTGTTACTTTTTAAAAAAGAAATAGGAGCAACAAAAAGTTTAAAAAAAGCAAGAATAAATGTAACAGGCACTTAAGAGCAAAGCAAATGCAAAACCCTTTTGGATATTTAGATGAGGGGGAGCTACTCATCTCCCTTGCCTTTAGCCTATCTAGAATTAAGACATCTAGCCCAGACTAATCATTTGTGCTTCCTCCAGTCTTGAGGAAACCAAAGCTTCCTTCTGGAGGCTGTCACATCCTCAAACAGGGCAAATGAGTCTCTCCAGGGATGGCAGACCCTCTGTAACCACAGGGAGAGTCTAAGATTACCTGCCACTTACACAGGTGAGACAAGTCTCTCTCACTCCTCACATAAGCCACTAACATAAATCCTGAAGACTTTGCTTGGTTCCTGCACAGACAAACTCGCCAACTTCAACAGGGCAAGGGTTTGCTTTTATGTTTTTGGGAGGCAGAGGGGGAGGTTCATCAGCAGTCCAATCTCACACCAACGTTGCTCGACCACTTGTACTGGCCGCTCAGCCACGATCGTTCATGGCCAGTTTGCCCAGGTACAACAACCGGTTGGTTGCGCAGCATCATGCAATAAGGGCAAAGGGTGCAACACGTTTTCCTAACACCCAGAGATGCATCGCAGTCTGCAACCTCCTCAAGGTGGGCAGTGGAGGGGGAGATGCTGATCTCCTCCCTCTGGCGACCAGCGATAGGACACGAGGGAGTGGAATGAAGCTGCATCGGGGCGAGTTCAGACTGGACATTAGGAAAAGGTTCCTCACCGAGAGAGTGGTCAGTCACTGGAACAGGCTCCCCAGGGAAGTGGTCACAGCACCAACCTGTCAGAGTTCAAGGAGCGTCTGGTTGACGCTCTTAGTCATATGGTTTAGTTTTAGGTAGTCCTGCGAGGAGCAGGGATTTGGACTCAATAATCCTTATGAGTCCCTTCCCAGTCAAGATATTCGATGATTCTAAGCTGAAGTAACTTGACATTCTCTTAGACACCAAACTAGCTGTGCTGAGTCTTCATGGGTGTGTATGTTACTTGACCACAATCCTCCAAATTTCTGCTGGGACTACAGAGGCTCAACAAGGACTAGAACTACTCTGTCAAGTAAGTGTAGGCCTTACACACACATTAAAGTTATACAGCTTTACAAACAGGCTAACATAGATAAAACAGTAGAGCCCACCCAGTAGGACAATATTCATAATCTATGGGATTGTTTACTCTGGTATACCTTCTTACAGCATGGAAAAGAGAACAAGATACATTGTCAAATTCACTCTTATAGCAGTATGGAAGGAAGTAATGTAAAAAATTCCAATTATAAAAGGCCCTAGCGGAGAGTTATTTTTGTTCAAAACTAATCAAGCAAGTGCTACTGAAACACTATGAGGACTTTTGCATATAATTCCTTATGGGCAAGATTTCTTTTTTAAATAATCAAGAACAAGTTATATTTTTTTAAATAAGCAAACAGTTCTCAGTCCCTAACTCTGGGTGCAAAGCTACGTCTATCCTTTCTTCACACTGCTATGTTTCAGTATTGCTGTGTCCCCTGAATTACAGGGCTATCACATGTAAGTGGATATGGTACAGGCTACACTCCTGGCAACTCCAAGGTCTTTTTTAAACCCTTCTCATCAGGTCAGATTCACCTCCCTGACTTGCATGCCAACAACAGCCATGCCATACATTGGGCCCGTATTACAAAACAGGAGGAAAAAGCACAACCAATGTACACCTTCCAAAGCACTTTCCACAAAAGGAACCAAACAACTCCTGGTACACCGGGGCACATTGGTCCCACATACTCACAAAAACAGCTGGAATTTTTTCCCTGTTTTGGAAGGCAGCTGTAACTGCATGGCCACAATCTGGATGACTCAGTGCCGGGAGCTCCCCAGCTTCCCCCCTCCACGGGCATGGCAGCACAGAGCAGGCTGCAAAGCCGGGGAGATCACACCGGCACCAAGGCAGGGTCAAGCTTGACACGGCATCACCTTCCTCTCAAAAAGATGGCATTTCCCATCCTCCGCAAAGGCATTTCTTCCCCCAAAGCTCCCCCTGGCCCCTCTGTCTGACCTCCCCTCTCTGTCAGGAGACCACTTACAACCTCCTCACCTACGCAACCTGGTCCTCAACCAAGAAGCCTCAAACTCCTTCACTCCAGGGGGAGGAATCGCCATGTCCCAAAGACTGGGCGTCCTCTTTGGAGAAACACTACAATTCATGGAGCATCCAGGACAGCCAATTGAGCAAGATCATGCCTAAGTAGGCAGAGTTACTCAATTAGCTGAGCTGGCTGAAGGTTTTCCCATTGTAACACAATTTTTCTATTCTAGTATTATTTTTGGTATAAAAAAATTCAGTGGGGATGGGTGGGTTTTTTTGCACAAAACTTGATGCTTTTAATGAAAAAAAGGTTGCTTTTCCCAATATTTTGCTGCTTGTTTCTGTTGGGAAAACTTGAAGCACATCGGTTTTGTCAGAAAAATATCAGTCCGTGTCTGTCCGAATTCCTCCGGTGTCAGCTGGGAGCTGTAATTCATGGGCTCCATGTCCCCCTCTTTCCCAGAAGGCTGGGCTCCTGGGCACCCCTCCAGCCTTCATGACGCATTCCCCCTTTGACTAACCCACAGTAAGAGCATCATGGGATCTGTAACCCAGCCAAAGAGCTCAGCCCCAAGGGAGACACGGCGCACAAGGCACTTGAATGGTAATTTCGGAGGTCTGCAACAGTAGCTCAAACTGATGCTGCTTTAAGGGCCAAATGGATTTAATTAAATGTTTCCATTTCAAAAGGCTAGAACATTTTATTCAGCATTTTCCAGCTGACAATTTCTCATTTTTTGAAAAATTTCCATTCCAGGAAAATTTTTGGTATTTCAGCTTTCCATCTCAATTCAGGATGAAATTCAATGTTCAAGTATCAGAATTTGATGCTACATGGACACTCGGTTTGGGAAACAGCCCTATTAACTAGCTGCCAAAAGTGAAATGACTCCATCCATGCAAGAGGGGTGTGATCCAGTTTGCCTTTGACATCAGTGGAAGCCACTTTTTCAGCTCAGTGGAGCCTGGATGGCGTCCCAAAAGACCAAGGGAGGGTGGAGTTGACCATAGTTTCAGATATTGGAAACAGGAGTCAAGAGTGAAACAGCAAGAACATAAGAACTAGCAACTAAGATGATCTGTTACCTGGACTCAATCAAAACTCAGTTTTACTTACTTTAGCAAGTAACAGGAAGAAAAATCATTAAGATTATAAAACCTAATTCCCAGTTACAGTAAAGATACCAGTTAATCAAACCTTTGTAGAGTAGAATAAATCCACACTATGAATTTGTCATGAGCTCTGTAACCTTCAATGTTCAAAACATTTCCTCAGAAAACCTTCATATATTCCAATCAGGGAGACTACTCTGAAGCTAAAGATACAATATGGTACTGAACTGCTTGCCTCAGGTTGCCTGTCCTCCCTTGAACCCACAAAATTGTTCTATTGGATGGGTATTACAGAAGTTCTGTCAGGAGGGACTACGGTCTCTGGACTTTGAGCACATCTACAGGTGAAGAACAGCCAAGAGTGGGCTTCCAGGGTTGAGACTCTGGGTGAGGACTGGGCATCAAATCCATCCTCTGCATTGCTCAGTCTGTTTTTGGATGTAGCCCCAAGCCTTCCACCTCAAAGAGTAAAAAAGAAGCCCCAGGGAGCCTATGTCCATCAGCAACAGAGGATGTGTTGAAAGCAAGAGAGCACTTAGAACAGTAAATAAATCAATTCACCCAACCATGAGGGGTCTAGAGAATTGGTTTTTGTTTATCTTTCATTTCCCTTTAGTACAAGGCTGATGTTTCTAAGTAATAAGCAGAAACCTCGGCAATTTTTAAGACTGAAGAGGAAGGGAGGGAGGAAGAAACATGTACAAGCTTTGAGGATGTTCTCAGCTCCAGCTTAAAAAAAAAAAAACAAAACAAAACTACACACCACCAAAAACATATATCTGTAAAAGCAAGTTTTTCCTTAAGCTGTTTGGTAATTCTTAGTTCATAGGAGCATTTTATCCAGAAGGTTCTTCATGTTTCCAGTCTAGGTTGTAGCAATCTCAGTGAGGCACTAAATTTTAGGCTGTTAAAGTCTTTCTGTGCAGCACGGTCATTTTAAAATGATGTGGTAGCCGTCATTGCTTTCAGCTGTAACAAAGAAATGCAAAGCATTTTTTCATTCCTTTTAGAAAACAGCACAGATACAGAACTCCAGATTTTCTCCTTAGGTAGTTTGCAATAGTTTGTACTCTTGTTCCACAACCCACTCATGAAAATCAATGTTGAACATGTAGGTTAAAGCATTTACATAAAAAAATAGGACATACTAACTGTCATCTTTTATCATTTTACTGGAAAGTTTTCTTCTCATTTATGTCAGTGGTATCAATGGATTTATGAAAGTTTTACAACAGTGTAACTGAGAGGAAAGCATAGATCAATCAGTCTACTACATGTAAATTGATGCAACACCTTGACTTACACTATATTAAGTTACTTATCTTTTCAGGATAACAGCACTGAGTTTGTGATAACGTTTAGTGCAATTGAAAGGAGGAATTATCTTTAGAGCCACATGTAATAGCAGCAGCAATACATACCTTTTAATGTGCTGATAACAAAACAAGATTCATCTTGGAAGTTTTGCACCATCTGAAGGGCAGAAGGAAAAAAGCCAACACAAAATATTTTTAGCAATTAAATTCAAGTTTCTTTCAGTGCCAGTATAGAGTTTAGAGGAGAGCTATCAAACTGTCCTGAGTCCTGCCCTACACAGTCCTAAGTAACCCTGCCCGTAAGATTATTAAAGTACATGACTGATTAATTAAGCTCCTTGCAGCTGCTAATGTGCTTAAGAGAACCTCATACTAAAGTGCTTGCCTGGAACTGATCTAGCTTGTTCAGCGTTTTACCATCCTCTTTGCAGCTCTTGATTCTGCAAGTTCTTATACCGCTCCAGTTAGTCTATTAAAGACTGTGCTCTTAATTGCCTTCAGTGAAGATGTAGTTGTTTAGACTGGATGAAGGCAGTCCCTCTCCTAAAATCTAACAACGGTTATACACATTCAGCTGAATGAGGAGGCTCAGTTGAGCTTACATTAGCATCTGAAATAATATCTAGAGGTGGTCAGCCCTGAAAAATGGACTCCTTGCTGAATAAAGGAATATTGCTACTGAAAAGCCATCTCAGCAGCATCCACCTGGTTATTTTGACCAGACATTAGTATAGATGCTGTGCTTGCAGGAATCATTTACCTGCTTGTATTTTGTTGAGGCACAGGAATCTTAATGAAACTGCTATGAAAGGCAAGGCAGACCATGGGAAGCAAGATTAGTATCTAAAGCTATTTGAGTTATTCATGAGATACAACTAGATTTTCAGAACACGTGCAGGTTCTAGCAAGGCCCCTAACTAAAGAGGCAAGTTAAGAGATTCGGCTGACTTCAGATCCAATCTGAAATGCTCATTTAAGCTTCATCCTTAGTCAATGCTTCCTCCCATCTTAGAGAAGCTGTGTGGGACAGAGGAGGTGAATTACCCTCAGGAGGTGTCTCATGCAGCTGAAGCAGATGCTGGACACCTAACTTCAGAAGGGAGCTGACCAGAACCTCTCTGATCAGCTCAGAAAATCCAGCTTTAAGCAAAAGCCTTCTCCTAGCTATTGAATATCATTCAAGTAGAGCACTTTCCAGCTGTAAGTCCTCACACCAAATATCCTTTTCAACTTAGACTAATCTCCCTATTCTCTTCTGGGTTTAACATCCACCCCCTGCTCCCGCAAATCAAACTTCACTGGCCAGTCTGTGTGTCTGTGCCTAATGATGCATGAAGTACATTCATAGAGTGCCTCACTCTTGCCACTATAGTACTAGAACAAGAAAAAAATTATTAAAAAAAGCAATAGACATTGTTAATAATTGACTTAAATAAATACTTAAAGCCTCATACCCAAGCTGGTTCAGGCAATTCCCCTACCAAGAGTTGCCTCCAAGCACTTTACATCTATAAAGCATCAAGGTTTCAGATTTAATCAGGCTGAAATAGCAAGGAGACTTTAGGAATAAGCATTTCAGCCTTCGATTTAGGCTCCAGTTGAGACCTATGCTCTGCTTCATTTGTTTTAACAATGTTTCTTAAAAATGAAGCTCCTTAAGTGATTCTGGTGCATGAATGAGTAAGTAATTTTGTGGGGGGGGAAAGAGGAAGAAGGGCAACTCACTATTAACCTGCAAGTTAATGGAATGGACTAAATTAAGCCATCATATAATGGGACACAAACAGCTAGCAGAGGTCCATTAATTTACGGTGTGCACTCACACAGCACTGACTCTGACTCAGTGGCTGTAATCACTAGCCAAGATGTAAGATTAATTGCCCTACAGATTTTCAAACTTGCCTTTTTTAGGAAACATTCCTACTTAATTTTAAAGATTCTCACTTTAGATCCTCACTTCAAAATTTGGTTAAGTAGCCAGCATAAAAAGGAAATGACCGATTTTGTTCTGTTTTCAAAAAAAGACTCTTTTACAAAGCAAAGATATTAAAATCACACCAAAATCAATGGTATGCATGAATGATTTGCTTAAGTATTTGCTTTAACTTGTTGGGATTAGTAACCTTGCAAAGCTTCCTTGAAGATTCATTCCATAATTTAAAAGGTCATTCTAACTTCAAGCAGTCAGACAACTGTTACAGCTCTGACAGAGTTTGCACTAACCCCTTACCTCATTGCTCACTAATACGTGGATTCCTGTGGGTCCCTGCCGATAGATTCGATTTATCTGCTGTGGAGAAATGCTGTACAAGTTTGCAATCTTCTCGATTAATTCCAGCGTGGTCAATTCTTCCAAGAAGATTGCATGATATACTGCAACAAGTTGAAAGTAATTACAGAATTATAGAGTAATTACAGAACAGCAACTACAGATTACACTAAGATGCCCAATATCAACAACCAAGTGGGTTTAAGATCAAGGTTAAAATCTTGACAGTAGGTAAACAAGCTTAGTAGCTTTAATGCAGTACCCAAATATCCAGCTTGATGATTTCTAGAAAAACACCCAGTATTTGGATACAGTGGGCAAATAAAGTATACGTCACTTTTGCCCAGAGGAAAACACAGGGACTAATGACAACATGGGGCAATAAAAAAATCCTCTCATAAAGATGTTAACATTTTTGGATAATGTACTTTTACTGATTTTGACATTTTAAAGTAGATCCAATTAACAGTAAACCACATGATATTATGTTACACAAAAGTAGTATCTTATTAGATGTTATCCCACTGATCCCATAGGCACAAACTAAAGACTACAATGTATCAAATAACTGTAGATGACAGTATTATTTTTTAAATCCAATCCAAATGGTAGAAACAACCAAGTAGACAAGCTGGGCCTGGTTAATACTATGTGCAAGAACTAAGGACAATTTCTATTCTCATTTGATCGTACATCATGTCATGAAGGATAGTTAAGAGCAGTGAGTCCCCAAAAGCTTCAAACTTCCAAGAATTAGAACCTTACTTTAAGACATACCAATCTTCCATTTCCCAGGATATTTTCAAATAAGCCATAATCTAAAGCAAGTTGTGGATGGGAAGGTAGTTTTTAATGCTATGGTCCCTATTAAGAACTGAATAGAGAATTTGCTGCAGCCTTCTGCAGATAGCTTGTAAGTTGGGTCTGTTCCCCAGGCAGACGGTACCAGTTGGAATGTGTAGCCCTGAAACTAACCCAAGTGGCAGAACTGGGATAAACAGGACCTCTTTAAATACTCAGGACACCAAGCTGTCCCACGCAGGAGCTCAGGCAGAAAGCAGCATTCTCACCAGATAAGTGTTTAACAAAATCCATACATAAAAACTTACCACAAAGACTGCCATCTCCGTTTTCTCGTTTTTGGTGGAGATGGGACCTGTTTTGCTCTGGTTCTTGACAGACATAAATTGTCATCTTGGGCCTTACATTTCTAAGGATTATTGAAAAAACAGTAGTGAGTTATTTAGTAGATCTAAAACTGTTCCAGTCAGCTACCAAACAATGACAGCTGGAATCATTCAGGCTGTGCATAAATAACGGACTAAGGGATAGTCTTGATGCTGGTGACTAGATGTCTTAGGAGGTCTATAAGAGCCCCCTGGGAGGTGGTGATACAGTGCAGAGCACCTTAATCTCTTCAGGATCAGATAAGAATAAACAGTTTACAGCATTTGCCAAGCAGCTCATCATACCTGCTTTTACTGATTTGAACCCTGCCCAGCTGTAAAATTTATGATGTTCTTGCAATAAAAGTAAGTTTAAGAGTCATTTGAGGCTCCAGGGGTTGGTTGGTTGGTTTGTTGTTCGTTACCAGTGATGGAGATGCAAGACAGGGTATTGTAGGCCGTGTCTCACATGAAGTGGATGGAACCTATCAGCTGGTAGCAAATAAACCACCGGGGATCCACATTATGCTGCTTCATTTCGGCAACATTTCTGACCTGTGCTTGGATTTGAATACCATTGTGATCTCCAGCCTCTGAGATGACCTCTCTGAAGTGTTAAAAGGAAGTCTAAATGCTACAGCTCCAGGATTAACTTCTAGTTAACACTGAAATTACCCAGGGATGCTGCCATAACAAAAAAAATAGGAAGGAAGAAGTACAAACCTTCCTTTGATTGCATTAAAGAGCCGAATTCCATCAGCAGGGCCACAGATTTGAACAAAATCTTCTTTGGACATCTTCAGTAAGTCAGCACCTACATATTTCAAATTGATTTTTTTTCAGAAGTTAAGCAAATCTTAGCTTCCAAATTGTGTGTATGGGCAGCAGGAAAGGGCAGGGGGAGAGAATCCACAAAGCTAAATCAGACAGATTTGCCTAGAGAAGTTGCAAATTCAGAGAGGTGTATGCTGCAAATCAATCATCATGAAACAGAGCTAGAAGCTGCCAAAAGAGCAGTGCTGCACTGGAAGATACTCTAGCCAACTCAGAGACAAGCTAGATATTTAACATTGGCCATTAAATGGCCCAATTTTCTCTAACTCCCACATTCACCAGGTTATTTAATCATGTTGCAAGTCAGAGAGAGGCTCCTCAAGGTTTCAATATCTTTAACAATTCCCCCTTCCACCAACCTACTGCCGTGTACAACTACCTAATGGGAGGGTACAGTGAAGATGGAGCTGCAGATGGAGCCAGACTCTTCTCAAAGGTGCACAGGGACAGGATGAGAGGCAGCAGATGGAAGATGGGAAGCACTGATTAGGTATAAGGAAAAACCTTTTCACTGTGAGAGTAGTGAAGTATTTGAAGAGGTTGCTTAGAGACACTGTGGAATTTCCGACCTTGGGGATACTCAAATGCAACTGCACAAGGCCCTGGACTTGCTTCAAGCAGGGAGTTGCACCTAATGAACTCAAGAAGTCCCTTCCATCTTAACTTACTCTCTTCCATCTTTACTTATTCTATATTTCTACAAACTGTTTTGGCAAATGCTGCCTAATCTAAGAACAAAAGAACAACCACACTGGATCAGACCAGTGATCCCATCAACAGCGGCCAGCAGCAGATGCTATTGGTATGAAGCATGAGCTGCAATCACAAAAGAGAATAAAGACAAAGTAATTAGACTGTTTAAACTCACCCGAAAAACTTGAGAAGAGTCTACAGAATGGAGAGAACCTATTACGATGAAGCCACTGCTGGGCATCTTGAATAGAAGCAGAAGGAAGGAGATGCTACATTGCAAAAAGAATAAGAAGGTCTTGAAATGAACTGTTCACCAGTGTCCTAAAAAAGAAAAGCACCACATTAACATGATCTCAAGTACTTACATCATTGCTGGGAGGCAGGAGCTCCACTTGGTGGGTTGGAGAACTGTTGCTAAAAAAAATTATGTAAAGTTGGAAGAGAAAAAAAACATTATTTTAAATTTTACATTGCAGTGTCCCTCCTCTTCCCCCTCCTCCATCTGACTCAACTGTCAGAAGTTATATACCAACTTGGCTCTTCTCTCTATCACTTTAGAAAAGGTGTCCAAAATCTGGACCAAGAGAAGAAAAAAAAGAAAAAAAGAAATCTCTGTTTGAGCCTTTTGTTGGTCAGTTGAGGTCCTACTCAACACTGAGAGACAAACTCAGTCTACTGACCTCATTCAAGCTTTTCCATATGGGTGACTCACTAATGTGACACCATCTAAGCAAGGAAGTCGTGACCAACAGAGTGGCTGAACTCAAAATTTCTACAAGCCAGAAATCCCCTAACTAAATCCACTGTCTAATAACGATTTTTCACAAAAATTCAATAAAGGACCTTATAATTCAACCCCGGTGTTATCTTAAACATAGTAAATTGCAGTTTAACTCTTACTCAAAACTACATTTCTACTAAACCCTCCTAAAACAGACAGGACTTTAACATGCCAAGGATTTTCCCAAAGAGTTAATAATCTACCACTGGAAGAAAATGCTCAACAGATCTCTCTACTAACACCAATTTTTGTCATTTCAGTGTTTGTCCTTATTCATAGGTTGAGGTCGCTCATTGAAAATTTGTAATATAACATTGATTAATTAATAAGCTTTGTGGGAAGGTGACAAGGCTGCAGAGTCCTAGAGAAGGAAAAGAAAGGCCTACATCAAATTCCTAGGGGAAAGTATGTTGCAGGGAGGACTCAGAAGTACTGAGGGACCCTGCTGTATATTTCTGTCATCAGCTGTCATCTTGGGTGTTTCAAGACCACTAAAATTGTTTCTTTATGACAGCTATATTGATGAATTAAACATGCCTCCTGTTAGCCCTTTGTTCTGGAACGGCTTCTCAAAACCCAGGCTGTTTTGCCCCGGACAGGATTTCTTCCCATTCAGCTGGGAATTCAGCACCCCAAACCACCTCAGGACAGAAAAGAAGGAAGAAATACCTACTCTGAAGAGGTGCTGAAGGCTGAAAGCCTCTAACATTCCTGTCAGAAGATACTGGGAATTGCTGGTACAGGGCATGGTGTGTTCTCTGACCCCCACAGAAGAGTAAGAGAGGAAATTCATGGCAGGAATTGCCCTGGTGGTCCTCTGATGTTCACCTCCCAGCCACCACATAAGCAGAGGACATACAAAGAGTACTCTGCGTTACAGGCAATTCCTGGATGGAAGGTCTTAAAAGGCTTTGTGGGAAATATTCTCCCCTTTCTAGGAAGGGTGGTCCTTGACCTCTTCTTCCAGGGTATGAAATGCATGGACACACAAAACACATGCACACAAAGGCTACCGTATCAACAGGAAAGATAAAGCATTTATTTGTTACATACCCATCTCCAAGGTTGAAGCTGTTGGGTGAACTGTTGTAGCTTGGAGATGGAGCATTGTTCATTTGATAAGGCACATCTGGCCAGGGAGAGCACTGTTGGAAGAAAGGCAGCAGGGATACTTTCATAAGGATGGAAATAAAGGATTCGATTCTCCTCTCATACCACATTCATGCTGTTGCCACGCCACTAACTTCAGCTCATCACTCCTGCTGGGAGGAGGAGACAGGCCATGGATTTTCTACGCTGCTCTCCAAGCGGGCTGTCAGGGGGCCAGATTGATTCCAGTTGTGCATTCCACATTTCTCCCATTTCACAAAGCCTGTCCCCAAATAACACTGGGCCAAAGTGTGCACAGCTGTAAGTCAGAGCAACGCCAGTAAGTCAACTCAGACTGAAGGCAGCAACGATACAGAAATACCCCTGGTCTCAATTATAAATCCCTAATTAAATCCAGGCAAGAGTGACAAATACGCTCCAGTGGCATTGCTTCAGGTTTATACCAGTGAAAGAGCAGAATTTGAACCAGCCTGCTAAAACCTCTGGCTATTAGTCAAAGAGCTTGAGTTATAAATGGGCATTACATGGAGAAAATGTAAGATAGACAGACAGACACAAAGCTACTAAAAGCCTTCACAAATGTAGGTCAAACTCCATATTCCATTACAGTAGTGTAAAACCAGACTAACCCAGCTAGAATTGGTGACTCTGTTCTGAATATAAGCCACCGTAATCTGTAGGAGAAATCTAGCCCTGTGAGACCTCTCGCCACCAAGAGCTCAAGAAAATGCTCTGTAGTATCCTTGCTTGCAACAATAAAAAAAGAGACAAGTGTAGCTTTGGAGTTTTATCATCTTCACAAAGACTAGCAAATATTTTATCATCTCCACAAGCACTAGCAAATATTTAACTCTTTGGCAACCCACATTTCCCCATGCAATATGTCAAAGTGCATCAGAGCTCACAGGGAGAGTTTGGGATCTGCCAACTCAGTAGAATTAGGTCTGTGTACACAAAAGCCTCGTTAACAACCACCACGTTGAATTAGAAAACATGCTGGTCACTCCTGGCAATGTGAGGAAAATTGAGTGGGAGGGACTGGATCTCACAAACAGGAAGTTTATTTAAATTAAGAAAAACCCCTCATTTTTAGAAGTCCAGCAAGCCACTTCAGAAAAACAAGAACTAAATCAAACAACAAGACATTCCCATAGGGAGATGGAACAGCACTTTTAAACCAGTCTTGAGTCCTGTTGCTTAGTAATCCTGCAGCCTGGGGTAAGCTTATATGTACATTTTAGTAATGGCATGGAGGGGTAGAAACACATACATCTCTACACCAGATGCATCAGAATAGAAGACATACAAGATATTCCTAGAGTACAAGCCAGAATCTTCTGAGATCTTGTATGTAATAGTAGCTTCATAAGCACATTCACAGAAAACCAGACTAATAATTTAATCAGCCTATTAATCTGTTCAAGTGCCCCATCTCCAACATAAGCTTTTGCCAGTCAGTTCTGAAGAAAATACCTCATACAGCTGGCATCTAAGCGTCATGACAAATGTCTGGGAGCACGGCAGAAGATGGCGAAAACATTTCTTTTAAATCTAGGCTGCTAAAGGTTGGTTTATACCGTGAAACATAAGAAACTTTGGCATCTTTTATAAACTTCAACAGTGAGAGACATTTTATAATTTCACTCTGCTCTCAATTTCAATCAGATCTGGGCATATGTGTCTCCACAAGACAATCTCCAGGGCTCAGTTAGACTGAATTTTCCCTCAAATCTATCTCCCAACATGTTGAAGTAGTATGACGTGTCTAAAACGCTTTACCTCTGTGAGAATAGTTGTCTCATAGGAAGGCTGATACTTCTCCTTCTCTTGGGTGGTCTTCTTCTCCATTTTTTCCCTGTCAGTCTTCTGTTTTCTGTCTGCTCCTTTAGGCTATAAGCACAAGCACAAGCTTTCCCTTATGCGAAGTATTACAAGTTTGGAGACAGAGGCCAACAGATTTTTTTTCTAATCTGTTCACAAAAGTCTCCTTAAGATTTATGGGAACTCTACATGTGGAACAAGATCAGATCTGCATTTTCTGGACAAAAAAAATCAGTCAAGCATCTCTGCTGTTTCTATAACATCCCCCATTAATGCCTACTGCAATTCCAAAACAGGCTGACCACACTCCTGAGAACTGATACCAACTATTTCAGACCATGAGCCCCATGAGTTATGCACCTCAACTAGTATTTGTACCATCTCTCCAGGAAAAGGAAAGACACTGCTCACAGGAGCAAAACTGGAGCAGCAGATCATTTGAGAAAACAGACCAACTAAAAGCTTGTTTTTAAGTGGCTACAGGTCTGCCATGCCCAGATCAGGAGCTTCAGAGATGCTTTCTCTCTGAAGCTTTCTCTCCTCCAGGTAGCATGGAGAGGAACTCTGCTGCAACAAGCAAAGGGTATTTAAGATATCCAAGATACACTCTCATTGTACACGGAGGATTGAATCAAAGAAGCCATAATGTCTTGATTGCCTAGGAGTACCAAAACACAGCGGATACCCTGAATATCTCAAGTATTTGTATAGTGTTCAAGGCACAATGGACTGGCATAAGTCTTGGTGCAGCATTTGCATCATTTGAATTTAACTAGAAATGCTGTGTAGTTCAGTGTTTATGTCACTTTGCGTGCAAGAGTCCTGTTTAAGAACTTAGGCATACCCAGTTAAAAGTCTGTTCTACTCCGCTATTTGCATCACTCTCGCACAATTTAAAAACTGTGCATGTTATTGTGTCTTAATCTATGTTGATGATAAAGCCAAAACTACCTCATACCTTGAACACTTTGATCTGGCAGCTTGCAGAATGCAAGTGTTCTGTGTATTCACCATTTTCATTCTGCTTAAAGGTGTCGATTTGCACCCGGAAGGGCACCCCTTTCTCTCCTCCATGTTTCCGTGGAGTAAATTCTGTGCTGATGCAATGTACCTGGCAAAACAAAAGCTGTGCTCATCTCTGGAGACAGTTGGAAGCTGTGCAAATCTGAATTTCAGATTTTGCCTGAACATGAGGTTTTGGGTCCTCCCAAGAAACTAAGAGAGATAGAAGAGTTCATATGTTTTCATTTCTGTTCCTCGGGACAAAACAATTAGAAGAACAAGCAGCCCGGAAAGAAGCCGGGCATCAGGAAAAGCATCCTTTGACTTAAGTAAATCCCACATACAGATTAAAAACAGATGGTTGGCGTTTGGGATGAGAAACACTCATGAAAGAGGAAAGCAAGCAAAACTAACAGGTTGTGAACAGTTTCCGCCAGACAAAACCCATGCTTAGAAAGCAACATCAATTTTTTTTTTTTATAAAGAAGATCCTAGCTGTAGCAGGTAGCACTCCAAAGCTAGCAAGTAGCTAGCAAGTTGGTTTAGCAAGTATCCTACAAGTTAATTATACATGATTGTCACTTGAGTTTGTATATTATCATTAGTATTTTTCTCTCTCCTTCATGTCCTGGCTACCTTAACTCGCCAGGTCTTTGTAAGATATCTCACCATTGTATTTACCACAGGAATATCACTTCTCTCTTACCTGAATGAATGCTGAGGCTCTCTTTGATGGATCCCACAGAAATTCAACAGTGTTCAACTGGGTTGGGCTGGCCCTGGGATCCAAGATACCAACTGACAGCGGAATATCTGTAGAAGAAAACCCCTAAAATTTTAAAAATATTAAATTGAAGAAGAGAAAGCATTTCCATACAATTACAAGATGCATGTGAAAAGCCAAGCCACCAATGATATATCTATTTGGGACCTATAGTGCTAGATCTCTTTCCCACCCAAAGACATACAGGATTCCCAAGAGAGTAGGATATAAAAAACCTAAACACACATGCACACACTCCATACATCATTCAGCATCTCGCTTCCAAACACTGCACAGGAACCATAATGAAATAGTCTCACCTATATCAAGGATGCGGTCCCCAGGCCGACTCCACCTCCAGCCCTCAAGCTGCTGATGCTCTGTGTACTGCAGGCGTCGGTCATGGAAAACTACACGAATTATGCTCTGTTAAGAAAAGATAGTAAGATGAACAACGTGATCCAGAGGCCCTTCTCTTGACATGACTTAGGTTTTCCAGCGTAGAAGCAAAAGCTGATCTGTTATGTTTCTCACCCCCATTCATGAGGAGAGTAGAGGGTCCACCTAAGAGACCCATCGCCATGTTTATCAAATTCCTAATGGACCCCTGAGTGAGAGAGCAACACACTTCCCCCTTCGCAGGGCACGTCCACGCTGCATAACGCAGACCTGAACAGCTTTCTGGGATTCGGTCTGGAAGCACTATAGCAATGTCCACCTAATCTTAGGTGTCATGCCACATAAGCATCACTATACTGCCTCCACACCCAAAATGGCTCACATGGGGATAATATTTAATGTGTCTGTACCATGCCCCAACCCCAGTATATCCCACTCTGATTAGCAAACGTGAAAGCCAGCTCACCTGTCCCTGCACCGGTGGAGCTGACATGCCCAGACACCTTGTCAATGGGAATTAAACTTGATTCCAGCCATTAAGAGCCAGCCATTGGATTTGCCCCAGTGTAGTTAAACAAGTGTGGAATAGGAAGGCTTCTGTAACAGGAGAATTTTCATCTCTGGTCTGCAATGGTGCAGCCATATCAATAACTGGAGAAAAAAGGCTGGAATAAGGGCAATCCCCAGGGCAAACAAGTCCAAAGTACTCCTAACTAATATATCCTTTTGTATATTCAGAGTGCTACACTTGCATGAGTTAATGACCCCTTACATCCCAGTTTCTCAAGTCCATGCTCCTGCTGGGGACTGCCATATCAAATGAGTGAGCAATTTTTGCCAATGAACCTGAGAAACGCCCAAATCAAACCCTAGCTCCAAGAAGCAAGCAAGCCACAGTGGGAACGCCTGCAAAATTGGGATCCCAATGACATTGAAAATCCCAATCACATGCTTCCTGAAATGGGCCAAAAGACAAATAGGGAACTGCCTAAACTTGGACAACATTTGAAATCCAGATTGGAATCCAAATTTTGCAACTAGTCCCCATTTCTCAAAAGAAATCCTGAGGCAAAACAGCCAAGAATTGGGGAGAGGAAGGCTTGAAGGTTGGATCCAGAACCAAGGTCCGAACCAAAGTTTTTGAATTTGAACTGTTTTGGGAGGGGGGAAACAACAAAAAAAATCCCCCAAACGAAAAATCAAGTTCTGTAAGTTCATGATTATGCCCATTACCAAAGTAAACTGGATCTATGCAGAATCTGCATGGCAGAACGAGGTAAACACCGGGGTCCTCCATTTGACATGTAACAACCCAGGCATGTTGCTGGGGTTAAGAAGGGAGACAAGTCTGCCTCTCAGCAGTTTTGACCATGTTCACCTCTGAACTTTGGGATTCCCTGAACCCAATATTCACAGTGAAACTCTGGGATCATGATCACAAAGAGAATAAAGCTTCCCCTGAAGCCCTGTAAAGCCAAGCTGCATAGTCCCGTGAAACTAGCACTCAACAACTCCATCAGCCTTGCTCCCATTAAAAACAATGGCAAAGTATTTTCCATTGTCTCAGTGTGAGCAAGGTCAGGCCCTTCATTAGAGGCTGTACGTAGTAGCAGGAAGAAAAGAAATCTATATTTCTCCTTACCTTTACATATTTTGTGTTTAAATCTTGAAACTCTCCCAATTTCCTATTCTCAAGTAGACGGATTTCATAAGACTGACCTAGAGTTTAAGGAAACATTTCCAAGGTGTTTAATATGTTGTAGCAATGAGAGAGTCATGCTGGCATTTACGTGGCTAATAAAGCATACGTTTGATCAGGGAAAGCTCATTTTTGGTAACATAATGCATTTGCCCCAGTAATCAAGTAGGCACTAAAGCACAGCAGAAATCTGAGGGGAAAGTTTTTCTTTTGGCAGCTAAAAGCTCTCACTTAGGGCATCGATCATAGTCTGTGTCCTGGGGCTGCTACAGTTTTCTGGTCACCCTTGAGAAAGTCACCAAGGTGTTGGAGGCAGTTGTACCCCCCGTGTCACGTGGCTGTAACAGCACTGTCTTTGTCTGTCCCTTCTGCTGAAGCAATGGTTGTGTGAAGAGCTGCTGGCACAACAGGTCTAGGCACTATTCTGCAGAGGATAGCAACTTGGGCAAAATCTTCCCTTCTTCAGAGAGCAGTCAGGCCTGTAAGGTGTTTTGGTGAACCAGAAATATAAGATTTTTTCCACAAGGCCTTGAACGTGGCTGCCCAGGGCATAAATACTCCTTCAGATATGTGTGTGGAAGCAGCAATGGGTATTACAGCATATGCAAGGACCAATTCCGGGAAGAGAACTCATACTCCAGCACCCCACTGCCGCTACCGCCGCCACCCCACCCACGCCACCCCAGCATAAGGAATTTAGCCACTTTAGTAGAATTTAGCTAACTGTTTTTTGAAATAATATCTCCCTCCAAGGCTGACAGCAGACAAAGGAGACTGATGTCTTGATACCTTATGCACAAATGGCTAAGACAGCACAAAAGCTCATTGTATAGGAACAACTCTTTACAATAAACCTACAGCTGCTACAGAGGCAGGACAGGATCATTAGGATTAATGGAGCACACGTATAATACTTTATAGCTACTTTTTCTTGTTCATCTTGCCATCCTCCCTTTTACTGAAAAATGTACAGGGTATGACAAGGCAGGCACCAAGGAGATTAGTTTGGGTTTTCTGGCTCAGCTAGTATCTCTGCAGAACTGGCCCTGCAGAAAACTGCAGATATATCTCCCTCTAAGCAGCTGCAACCAGCAGAGACGAAAAATGCTACATATCTGGATCTGGATCCAGAAACAGAAGACTTATGACAGCAGATGTGTCAGAAAGGCACTGTGTTTCAGGCAGATTCCCTTTTGGGAATCCCAGTTCTTCTGGTTGCCCGTGTGAGTACAGACCATATCACTAGAGCACAGGGAAAATTTTGCTTTTTCATCGGGGGGGCAAAAAAAAAAAAAAAAAAGAAAAAAAAAAAAAGAAAGGACAAGAGAGGCCATATTAAAGCCCCAAATGTTTGCACAACACTCCTACTGATGTCAACAGGAGTTCCGCGAACAGGAAACGACCCTTGAATCCAGCAAGTGGCTGAGGGCGGGGCGGGGCGGGGGGGGAGAATAAAACTTCTGAAGTACCAAATTAAGCACTGGAAACGTGCATAGGTATTAACCCATCTCTGCGCATAAGTAAACCAAAATGACAACAGTGACCTTCCTTTGAAGATTGCCGGACAACAAAAGTGGATTTTGTAAGCCACGGTCCCGAAATTGAGGTCTTCCACACTTTAACTCAAGAGACTTTCTAATGTTCCCACTGATACGCATTAATATTGTTCACTTGGCAATTTTTAGAGAGACGTACATACCTCCCCACATAATCAATACTGTTGCATTAGCATACAAAGAACAGGCTCAGGTTCACAAATTTTTCTCTCGTAGAATCACAGAATCATTTAGGTCGGAAAAGACCCTTAAGATCATCGAGTCCAACGGTTAACCTAGTACTACCAAGTACACCACTAAACCACTTCCCTAAAAGCCATGTCTGTTGTACTATGTACCTCTGTATCTGTTGTACAAGTGTATCTACTTTGTATGAAGTACTCCGCTGCTCAATGGCTCAGTTCGGGGATACATTTCACGAGCTATACAGTTCATTGCCTCAAACAAATTTACACAGCCAAGCATCTCTTGCACTTACAGTTCATTCCCATGCAAATATGAGGCTAATTAATCATTACAGAAAATTAATTTAGGATTTGAGACCATGAGCATCCAAGAGACAGTAAAATATATCTAAGACTGTACTCAGATGGGGTAACAGGGACAGAGAAATTAAGTGGCATGAGCTGTGCTATAGAGGAAGGCAATGGTAGAACCAGAAGCACTGCTAGCCACTCAGCAAGTATCTCAGGAATGAGCAGGTTTTTGGGACACCTTTGTGCACTGATACCCTCCTACTTTTTGGTGAGCCCGATTTGCTTATTTGAAATTCCAATGAGAAAAGAAAATAATGGGCATAAAAACATTGGCCATGTTCCTTTCAAACTAGCATCAAGCACTCAAAAAACTCTGCAGCATGCATTTTCCAACCACTTGCATGGGATAGGAACAATAATGCAACCTTGCACACAGCAGGCACTGCACATGTCCTCCTGACAGGGTAATTCACCTTGGATGAAGTTAGAAACAGATTCTGCCCACTGGTAAAAAAAGAGACTGTAGTGGAGACAGAGTTAATATTAAATGGAAAGCCAAAGAGGAAATAAAATGCTTTGATGAAAGATATATGGGTCATCTGATGTAAGCCCTGGAACTCGGTTTACGCCATGAAAAACCTCAGTCAAAATGGTATTTTATGCTAACTGCTTTCCCCTTGACCTCTGAATGTTTCACTCCAGTTACTACACAGGACTGTTATCAAAACAAGACTGCTCCCAGCCAAGCTTCAGAAAACATGAAGTTTATTTCCCTCTCTGTGGAGCCCTGTCAGTGAGAATTTGGTTCTAATTCTTCACAAATCCTTTATATATAAATGTTTTGGTATTGATTTTGGGAAAAAAAAAAAAAAAAAAAAAAAAAATCATTCTCCCTACAACTTATTCCAGCAAATTCATTGCTTTGTGGCTAATGGTACCCATAATTCATTGGTATAGCACGGACAGCATTCAGATACTTGTACTTTTATAGCATCAAACTGCTTGGATTATATTTTTTCCTTGAAAAATACCTTCAAATCTTGTTTACCCTATGTTTTCCACCACCACTAACAGCAAAACTCCTGAAATGGTGAATTACAATCTAAGCCCTGCAATTGTAACAATTGCAGGGAAAAAAAGCCCTAAAGAATCAGTACTTGGATATTCAAACAAGATCCCTTTGTAAAATAAAGTGAATAATAGTGACCTGATCAGAAGAAAGCTGAACTCCCCCTGGGGGCAAAGAAGTCACTCAAGGCTCTGGTACACATATACGAATATATGATTCACATACGAATCCTGCATCACTGACTCACCAGCACTAGCAGTCATAGACTGACAATTTTCTGCTAAAACTAAATGAGTAACAGATCATTCTTACTCAGGTATCTAAATCTGTAAAGAAATGTGGGTACAAGTGTGACTAAACCAAACCGTATTCCCAGCTCCCAACACAGGCTGCAACTAGCTAAGCCCAAAACATACAGCTGAAATACAGAGTTCCCCTACACTGAGTTTGTCCATCTGCCCCAAATGAAAATACAGATGAATATAGGTTAGACTACATCTTTCCAAGTCAATGCTTGGTGGTAAAGCTGGAGATGGGGGCAAAGGGTACCGATGCTGAGACTCTCCAATGATTTGACTGAATGGTCTGACCCTGACAAGGGCAGTATCTGGTCCTCAGCTGACAAGGGTTTAACATCCACTGGGCTCAGATGGAAGGACGAGCCTGAAGAAAACACCTGTAGCTAGGAGAGCGGTGGTAGCAGTTTTAGAGCAGTCCCCCTTTGCCAGGATGATGTTCAACATTACTGAACGTTAGACTTAAACCCAGTGCTAAAGGCCAGCAGCTTGCTGAAACCCTCTTCCTTCCACGCTCTCAACATTGGCCACAGCTGCACCACCACAGGCAACACGGGTTCAAGATAACTTCAAAGTCGGTGACCAGCCTGGTCTCTGGTCACGTTGTAATATCGGACACAAGCACACTAGGGCATCTGAAGCATCTCTGTCGCTACCTGAAATGAGAAGGACATTTTGCAAGCAAATCCCAAGCACAGCTGAGGCCAAAGCAGCCTCCTGCCCGCCTGCGCGACCCGGTGCTCCCCTCGCACAGAGCTTGCCACAACCCTTCTTCCCTACCTCAGGCAGAGAACAGAACGGTAATAAATATTTAGAAAACCACAGTAAATTCCTGAGATGCAATTTGTCTCCCAGCTTCACTGAAAGCTTCAGGGGCACCAATAAAAACCTGGGTGGGTGATGATACGCTGTAATTTGTATTTTGAACAGACATTCCCTGAGCAACAGCAAATTTATGCAATCTCCTCCTAGGCTAGAGTTTGAGCAACTCTGCTTTACAAACAAGAGTAGTGTCCAGCAAAGTAGTAACCACCCAGGTCCAGAGAGTTCCTGCTTGGTGATTCATAAAGCAATTGCATCTATCTTAAAGAGGATTTATAGACTGTTTACTCTTTTTAAGTTTTATTGTCTTTGGTAATTAATGCACATTAAGTGCAGGCATGACCACTTAGTTTGGGGACAAAAGAACTGAAAGTCACCAATTTGCTATGGATAAAAAATAATTTAGTTCAACACAGGAACGCTTTCACTCACTCAGAAGGTACAAACCATAACATCTTAACTGATTTCCATTGTTGGAATTTAGTCAGCCATCAGGAATTTTAGGCAATTTCTGATTACAGAAGATTATCATTATTTCAAGCTCAAAGTTACATTTTGTTCAAAGATTATTTGCTACACAACCACAATATCCTGTTTGCTTTTTTTTGTTTTGGTGTTATGTTTCAAGGGCCACTTGCACTATGCATTTTGTGGTTTTCTGCACAATACACCGATACAATACACTAATTTCCAATTAGGATGCTGATGTTCCAGACCAATATGACTCAGGCCTTACTTAATCTAGCCAAGTAGTCTGCTTGCCTTTCCAGCAATTAATTAAACCCTAACCTGAGACTAAAC